TAGCTCATATGGTGAGAACTTGGTGGACGAATGAACGCCAGTGTTATAGGCGAATACCACCGGATCCAAAAACTCATCCCAGTTGTTGTATTCCGAGTCTTGTAATTTAGCTATTTGTGGAATAAAGATGGCATTAAATCTCTCTATCATTCCATTAGATTGTGGATGATATGGCGAGGAAAATATATGATGAATGCCAATTTTGCGCTCTAAAGCTTGAAGTAGTTGATTACGAAAATGTGAACCATGGTCAGATAAAATAGTGACAGGAACTCCATAATGGCAAATATAATGTTTGAAAATTGCTTCTGCAGTCACTGCAGTCGTGCTGCTCGGAAGAGCTACGGCGGTGATCCATCTGGTAAATAAATCCGTGATGGCAAGAACATAACGATTTTCAGAAGGAGAACGATTTAACGGTCCTACGTAATCAATTGCAGTGATCTGGAATGGGCCGTCTGGTGATGATATTGTTTTCAAATAACCTGGCTTTTTTTTTTTAGATATGTTAAATTGTTGACATTTAGAACAAGATTTAATATATTTCTCAACAGAAGATTTGATATCTGGCCACCAGAATTGATGTTTTAATTTTGCTAGTGTACCATGAGTAGCAAAATGACCAGAAAGCGGATCATTATGGGAAGCTTCAAGTAAAAGCGCAATCATTGATGGTGGTATATACGGAACAGGTTTTTTACATATAGAATATTTAGGCTGAACGAGCTTATACAAAATATCATCTTTGAGGACAAAATCGATTTTATTGGGATCTTTCTTCAATTGATCTATTTTTAATTTAATGGTAGACTCTTTATCCTGTTCGATTTTCAGCTGTCTGATATCAAATTTATTACAATTGAATTTTTGATTAGAGTTTAAATCGATTGAATCTTGATCAGAAGTGGAATCATTTGGAGATGTTTCAGTAGTTTGCTCTTGTTGAGCTCTTCTTGTTTGCAATAGTCCGGTAGACAATTTTTCTTTCCTTGAATATGGAATAATTTGAATAATGTTATACTCTTGCAATAAAATTGAGATTCTGTTGGCCAACGTATTACGGAGAGTTTTATTTTGCATTCCGCAAAGTGGATAATAATCAGTGTATATAATGATATCGCGTCCAAGTAAATATTGTCTCATTCGTTTAATTGATAAAACAATTGCAAGAGCTTCTTTTGCACCAGTGTCATATCTTCTTTGTGTTGAATTAATGAGCTGACTGTGATAATACAAATTATGCATTTCCTCATGTATTTCTTGTTGTAGAATTCCGGTGATTCCAATTAAAGATGCATCCGTTGTTAAAATTATAGGATGTTTATCTACGGAAAAATTTAAAAATAGAGGTGCTTCGGTGAGTAGTTTTTTGAGTTCATGAAAAGAAGTGGATTGTTCTGGTTCCCATTTGAATTTGTATCTCAGATTTTTTGGTAGATTCGTAACGGCGTGAATTGGAGCTGCTGTCGTTGCAAATTGTGGTATGAACTTTCTATACCATGATAAAGCGCCAACAAATTTATTTGCTTTTAATTGAACGATTGATGAGATTTTTTCAGGAAGTGGAGATATTCCTGATTGGTTAATATGGTGGCCTAAATAATTTATTTCATTTCTGGCAATCTGGCATTTGGCAGGGTTTAATTGAAAATTTGATTGATGAAGTAATGAAAGAACTTGATTAAGGTGTTGAACATGTTCTTCAAATGTTTTGGAAAAGATTATTAGATCATCAATATAAACTAAACAGTTCTTTCTACAGGGTTCAAGTAATTTTGTCATTACTCTTTGAAATGTTGGAGGCGAGTTCTTGAGTCCTTGTGGAAGAACATTCCATTCAAAAAGGCCAAATGGAGTTTTAAATGCCGTTTTGTGACGATCTTTTGGGTCAATCGGTAATTGCCAAAAGCCGGATTTTAAATCCAGTTTTGAAAAGAATGCAAATCCGTTTCCCACTTCCTGTAGAGTGTCCTCCATGTTCGGAAGGGGAAACTCGTCTTTGATTGTGATGGCATTAAGTTTCTTATAATCGATGACTAATCTCCAACTTTTATCTTTCTTTTCTACCAAAATTGCGGGAGAAGCATACGATGAATTAGATTCTCTCACATGACCAGATTCGATTAACGATCTGACGATGTTATACAAAGCATCTCTTTTTTCATATGAAAATTGATAAGATTTCGAGCAAGGTGGTGGGTGCTCTATTGTGTTGATTGCATGTTTAATCATAGTGTTCGCAATAGTTGGTTTCGAGATATCAAATATCTTAGCATATGGAAGAAATGTTTGTTTTAATGTAGATCTTTGAACGTCGTCTTTACGATGGTGGAGAAGATTATCTATAGAAGTTTCTGCAGTTGAATTTATCAGATGAAATGGACACTGATGTTTGATAATGTTGGTTGTAGTTGTTATTTTATTTTGAATGATGGTAATTGTTTGTGATCCTGCATCAATTTTCATTTGATATTTGTTAATGTAGTCTTGACCAAGAAGACAAGGAGCACAAAGACGTTTTACAACATAAGCAGATATGTCTGTAGTTGTTGAGTTAATTTTAATTTGAAGCGGGACGACTCCGAGAACTTCAAGTGGTGTTTGCCCATCTGCTTGATATAATTTCCACGAATAATTACTAAGATATTTCTTATGGCGGGTTGAAGGAAGAGCTTGTTGTGTTATAAGTGTGTTGGTCGCTCCGGTGTCGATCATTATTTTCATGTGAGTATTATTTACAGAAGAAGAAATAAACATTAATGATGGATTTATGATGTTATTATTACCGGAGGCACCACCATCCGATGCATCCGTTATTGGAAATGCGGATTTCGTTGCTGGCTATAGCCACGAGAAGTCCAACCAAAAGAATGATTTCTTCTTTGATTGTGATTCGTGTGTGAATTAGCTGTGGTAGAATCAGAAGAAGAAGAATGTGTGTTATTTGAAAGAGATGGTTGAGAAGAAGAACTATTAGAAGAAGTGTTAGAAGGTTGAGGTTGAATAGAATTTTGTTGTGATTTATTATTATCTGAACGTTGTGCCGGCGTTATATAGATATTTGAAGATGAAGAAGAATGAGAACTAGGTGCTGATGTTGTTACTAAGTTATTTGGATCTAGATTATTTAAATCAGGATCTCTGCTTATTAATGCTTCTAAATCTTCTATACTTTTCGCTAATTTTAAAAAGTCAGATGTTGTTTTTGGATTCTTTTCAATTATTTTGATTTTAACTGATGGTTTTAAATTCGCAATAAGATGTTGGAGTTTTGTTTGTTCAGACATCTGAGGATCGGCATCCGTGCATAATTTGATGATATCCGCGTAGTATTGTTTTATTGATTGAGAACTTGTTTGTTTATAATTTTTTAAACGTTGAAAAGCTAAATTAACTTCATACGTTGATGTATAGGCGTTTTTTATTTCAATTTTAAATTGTGGCCACGTTGTAATATTGTTTTTCTGTTCTTTATACCACTGTTTGGCTTCGTTTGTTAAAAATTGTGAGATATATTACAAACGTAAGTGGTCTGGCCATTTAGCTGTTATAAATTTTTGTTCGATGTCTGCTATCCAATTTTATACATTATCTCTACCAGAAAACGTTTTGGGATTCTTGATAAGATCTTCTGTAAATGTTTTTTGAAGAATATTTTCAACAGACTGATGTTTAGAAATTGAAGAAATTGTTGTTTTATTATCAGGTTTTTGTTCAGTGATATTTGTTAAAGAAGATTTTGTTGCATTTTGAACGATAGAAGAAGGAGGGTCGATGTATTTTAATCGAAAAGACATAACGAAAGAAGAAAAATCTTCGAATTTGGAAAGATTTTCATAATACCATATTAATGGCATTCCAATAAATTTTTCTTTTACATAATACATCATTAGATCTGGTTCTAAATCTAGTTCTCCAAATTTGCGAAGCAAATTTGATTGTACAGACCTTCGTCCTATTTTGGAGGTCAATTTAACACCTTAACATTGATTTAAATATTCTTCATTATTAAAAAAAAATCTTCTTCAGTTATTCTATTCATTTGGTTATGAATGTGTTTTTAAACTCTAAATTCATTTGCTGACGAGTGAAAGTTGCCGAATGCTTTGGATTTGGAAACATAGTTTGAATTTGTTTATAGGAGTACTACTGTATTCAAATTTATGTCTCAGAATTATGAATATTGAGTGATTGAAAGACGTCATTTTAAGTTTACGTATCGTGGAAATAGTGGCAGGCTCTTGCTCTTTAGCGAGGTCCAGATGATAAGGAAAGATTCAGCTCTTTTAAAGCAAGATCCGCACATTTACTCTATGTTTTTACTTTAAGTTATTATTCTTTTTCATTTATTTTCAAACATAGGAAGATGCCGTACAACCATATATCACAACCACAATCATTCCATGATCGTCCACCACCACCAAAACATCTAAATGCCAAACAAGCAGGAAATTGGAGAAGAGCAGATAACAAATCTCGTTATAATGAAGAATTAAGAAATTCCAAGGCTCCATTTAACTGTGAACCCGGGTCATTTGATGTTGTGTTTGTCGATTATACTACTACAGATGAAAGATTAGCTTATTTATTAGAAACCACAGAAAATGTTTACCACCATCATCAACATCAAGATTCGAAACAATCAAATTAATTTGGCAAAACATTTTGGATCGTCACAAGGAGATTAAAGGATGAGGGAATCTAATGTTGGTATACGCATTTGGCGCTGAAGATAAAGATCCAAAGTTTAACTGGGATCAATGGTAACCAGAATATAGTCTAACCAGAAATAGATATTATTATAGGATCAAGAAATTTTTTGAGACATGTTCGAGCGTCAGCAGATGGTGAAAGGTACATACGTAAGTCTAGAGAGTTTTCCAACTTTGTTGTATCTTCAGCTATTGCTTTGCATAAAATTTTTTTATACTTACTCTACTTCTTCGAAGAAGTGTCTGAGAAGGGCTTTTATTTGTTGATCGAGTTGTGTCTATTTGAGAAGTAGAAGCTAATTGAGTAGAGATTGATCCCTTCTGCTTGTATTTAGTTCTAAAAGTGATCCGTTTCAGACCTAGTGTTAATCGTATCTCTTGATTTGGTGCTTCCGATCACATACTCTGCCAAAAGTGAATGCAACAGGCATCAAAAGGAAATATTGAAGTGACTAGATGTTTACTTCGTCTCCGATTCATTAGATGGAAGACTTCTTTCTCATTCTTGTGTTGATGAATAATGAAAACATCTCGCTATTAACTTTCTACGCGGTGCACCATGCAAAAAAGTAATCTCTCCATTAAAAGTAGGGGCTATAGCCTCTCTCTAATTTTCTGTGCTAAGGAATAGCACAAATTGAAGACTCGCGTGCAGAAGAATAAGGTCAAATTCTGCAATGACAAAGGGATGTTTATCATATGAGAAGTAGCAAGACTCTGACGAAAATTTTGTTTTATTAATACGAGCTCAGCAACGCTTATGCGCTCTTATGAATGCATTATTCTTGTCATGCATCACATCCCAGATTGTTTCTTGATCCATGCATATTGATTAGAAAAGATGACACGAGTTCTATGGGTTTTCGGTGTTTTCACCGACAATTCATATTTCGTTCGAAATCACTTGCTAGCTGCTACAGCGTGTTGCAAGAATTATATGACACGCCATTTTACAGTTCCCATGGTTTGTCTGATTTGTTTTCAACTGGCAGAAGTTACGTTTAGTGGATTAGTGCACATACTGTTGCGACGTGAGAGAAACTGAGAGACTCGAGAAAGAAAGTGTGTGCCTCTATGATACGACATTTCCGAGAACGACATTAGCGCGAGACACTACCACGAATGATGTTATCGCGAACGACATTACTGTGAATTTTTGTAGTACACAATTGGGTGTGGCAGTACGTGGTGGGCGGTGGGGATGTGGGCAGTGTGAGAGTGAGTTCAAAAAGTAGTTTCACACAGAACAAATGGTTTTGATATTGTATGAATTTTCTTGAGCTTTTCAAGTGCGGCTCTGATATCTAACTAGCTGAAGATAAAGCAGTAATAAAATATTCGAAAAATTCGTGGAAATGTCGTTTGCGGTAATGTAGTCCACAGAAATGGCGCTGTATCGTGGGACCTCGACACAGCATCGGACCCAGTGACATGGGCCAACGGTCTTTTCCTAAGCTACGAAGTGCAGTCTAATCATATATTTCTTTCAAGTGAATGATTTAACTCTCAGATTCTTGAACAGACAGTATCCCTCATCAACGAGCAATCAACGAGCATCAAACTATCTTCCTCCCTCTTACCGAGAGTTTTAGTTAAAATTAGATAGCGGCATAAAACAGGCATTTCAAATCTTCATATAGTCCCTTACATATTTTCTGAACTATGTGAATTCAGTAAACTTTTGTATCAACACACGTAACGAAAACTGATATGAAAACAAGTTACATGAAAAGTATGTCATAGTTTCTTTGAGATCGAAAATGAATCAATGTGCTCAGACGTTGCTCATATTTCAAACAGTTAATGGACACGCAAACAACGAACAGTGTGCGGCATTATCAGCCTCATGACAAGAAGTGAATGTCGGCTTTTTTCTTCGTTGTACAAGTATAATTATTGAGAATCAACACTGCGATGAACTAGATAATAATGAATAGGGGTATGACAGTTCCATATCAACTTCTATCATAGGAACTATTGAAAAGTTCTTTCGAACGGAGCTGATATGTTTGAACAGTACTTTTGAAAGGAGCTGATATGTTCGAGCAGCTCACTAGTCGTCTAGACAAAGTTTAAACGTCCCGAATGTTCATTAGACGTTCATATCAGCGAAGTCCTGCAATCATAAATAGAAGCATGTAAAATGGTCAATTTCTTATTTCTCAGATAAGTATGGTTAAAAAGTAAAATAAAAGAAGTATGATCTTTGTAAGAAAAGCAGACTAAAGAAAAGATTAAAGTTTATCTTTTAGGAACATTGAATATTTCAAGTTTTTTGCTGAGAGAGAAGACCGTGTTTTTCGAGCAACATAGCCTGCGATTGAGAATGCGCTCTCGCTGGGGGCTGAGGTCGCGGGTATAGGACCGAATCGACATGCCATCTGGTTCACTATCGGAAGTAAAGTCGAATGTTTTCTCCAGAATAACGCAAATGTACGACCTTTCTTCTCCAGTGCTTCGAGTGGAGCAAGCTCTTGCTTCAGCGTGAAAGCTTTAGCAGTAGTCGTTGAAAAAATTTCAATTTTTAAAAATTCAAAAGAGCTGTTCAAACATATCAGCTCCTTTCAAAAGATCTGTTCAATAGTTCTTTCGCTCAAATAAGCTGAACTTATGAGCTGGAACTGTTACAGGTCTAATGATAAACATAATCGAAAGAGTCAAAGTATCAAAGAAATATAAACCGATACTAGGTTAGGGGAAGCGAACGCTTAATTTCAACAGCAACACATAACTTCTTCTACTTCTGATGTTTTACAGGTCTGTGCTTGATAAGTTTTCTAGTAGTTCGTTTGCAAATACGGTTACATTTAAGTCTAGAAATGTGTTGGTACACTCTTTGAAAGGGACCATTGTGCTTTTGCTCGATATTCTGCTTTTGCCATCTTCACTAATTCCATTCTGAAATAATAATAATCCATTTAAAAATTTATTATTCGTTCGATCTTGCTCAATTTTAGCCAAAACACCCTCCCACCATTCGTCAAACTCAACATATTGAGGTGCTTCCCTCATGACATCACATATACCATTCCAAATTGTTTTGAAGGATATCATTTTATTCGAGTTATGTATATTATATATTTCATTGATACTTGTCTTTTGTTGTCCTAGCTCTATGATCACTTTGCTTACATAATCAACCGGTGATAAATCCATCATAGAATCAACATCAGGTGCCGAACCGTGATGAATCAGACCGGTGAACAGGCGATAGAGCCAGTCTTGTTCATTACATTTGCCACTTGTTGAACACCAAGATATCATTCCTAAAGAAAAAAAATCTTCTTTTATTTTTGCTGAAAGATTCGTCTAACTCTCACCTGGTCGAAAAATTGTTATTGGTAAACCGCGATCTTTGGCCTGTGTGACGAGTGCTTCAGCAACCCATTTACTTTGTGTATAGCCACCAGTCTTTTGTAACTGAAATTCGTATAAAAGATTATTATTCTCTGCTGATAAAACGCTCAATGTTGATATGTAATTGAGCCGAATTCGTTTAGAACAAGCCAGTTTAATAATTTCTATTGTTCCTTGAACATTGGTAGCTCGATGTGTTTCGTAGTCTTTTATGTGATTAACCATGGCACCACAGTGGTAGATGACATCGATTTTAGACGATAATTGCGTCCATTCATCATCTGATAGACCCAATTGTGGATGAGTTAAATTCCCAATAACAGTCACGATTCGATTTTTATCAAATGATGATTTCCACAAATCATAATACGTTAGTATCTGAGTGATTTTCTCTGACTTGAACGATCGTACTAAGCAGTAAATTTTACATTTTGACGTCTGCGTCAATAGTTCACCGAGCAGATATGCTCCAAGAAATCCTGTGCAGCCAGTCAAAAAAATACCATCAACTTCTGGCTCATTTGCAACAATGGATGGATCAAGCTTGATATCCTCCTTCCAGGACGAATTTGACGAGGATAAGCCGGTTTCGATACTTTCCCCACCTCTTACTCTTGATAATACAGCAAGTTTTATTGCAGCCAATGAATCGCCACCATTTTCTACGAACGTTTGTTCGGTTCTATGCTTATTAGCCATAATGGAATCAATGATACTTCGATAAAATTTATCAACAACTGGTCTAGCGAGTTTATTTGTCGCAGTCATTTTTCGATTTTCAATTGAAAACGATTCTGGTTCGATGTAAGTAGCCCAAGGAATTTCGAATGGACGAAGATTCTTTTTTTCAGCTACTAATTTCAATTCAGTCAAAATCATCTGATTTACAAGTGGATTCTGGCACAAATCTTCAAAATTTTTGCTTTTCTCACCAATTTTCATTGCCCAATCCAGGACTAAAGCTTCATTAGGTACTATGACGGCCATAACTGCATTCTGTTGTTGACTATATTTGATTAGATCAGCGCACGTGATGAAAATCTGTCGCACAAACGGACATGCTAAATAAACGTTTTCTAAGCGCTCAGCAGCAACAAATTCTCCTTGACTCATCTTGAAAAAGTTCTTTTTTCGATCGATTATTTTAATTTGACTTGCATTAATCTGTTCAACAATATCACCAGTACAAAACCAACCGTCTACAAACGATCGGTTAGTATCAACTGAGTTATTATAATAACCTTGAATTGTGGATCCAGTTTTAACCCACAGTTCACCACGAGGATAAGGTTGGTCAGTTCGATAATATCCTGAAAAGGACGTAAACTCCATTATTATTGATTCATAGGCGAGTAACGCATCTGTTCAGTTATTTCTGGGATCAAAATTGTCTAACAGTAGTTCCGGAAAACGCTAATATTTTTAATGGTTTCCTTTCCAAAAACTATAAATTACACTGTTTTTTGAATTGATACGCGTGTTCATTTCATACATCTTTTCCTCTAATACTCTTTTTTATATGCATTTCATACTCTTTCTTTTTTTAAGATGCAAAATACAATTTTTTCAAACTGGATTGTTTTCTCATTCCCAGCTCGCAAAATTATACTAAGATAATACACGATAGCGCAAGATCGTACGAGAAGTAAGAAGTGATATGACTCGTACTGTCGGATCGTATGATTTCTTATAGTATGCTGTTGGCTCTGATTATATGTCAGTCAGGTATTTTGTATGAAATTGTGCAGTATGATTCGTACAAAATCGTTTGGTAAGCATCATACGTGATTGTGTCATACGATTTCATATGATTTGAGTCGAAATCGCACTTGCTAGATCATTTTTTTGCTTTTACGGCGATTTATACTTGGAATGTTAAAAAACGCTCAATTTCGAATTCAAATAACGAGTTTAGTGTCAGAAGCAGAGTTGTAACCGGTCTAAAAATAAGAGACCGGACCAAAAGTCGGTTTAGACCAGTGAAAAATCGGCAAAAGACCTGTCAGTTTTGAAAAATTCTTTAGACTGGTTAAAAAACGGCTCATTTTGCTCAGAAGTCGTAACCGTAAAATGCGATGTCTCGCGAGGATAATGGGATTCCGAAAGGGAAACAGAGATTTGCAGAGAGTCAACTTTTCAATAAATCTCGTCATTACTCTGAGAACCTTCGTGAGGCATTTGCATCTGAATGCGCATCGACTTCTGAGCAAGATGAGACCTCCCCGGGCTTTCCAGCGTCTTTCTAGGCTGAGTTATTGGCAAATCTCTTAAAGGATATTCGAGTCAGCCGGATCACTAACAGTAAAATGGCGTTATCTCAGCCTAGAGATGTTCTAGAAGGCTCGGGGACGTGAAATATCGCTGAGTCATGGGCTCATCATCTGACGGATTTTTCGAAACACTCACACTTTTTCAGCCTTCTCCTGATTTCTCCTAAAAGGAAAAACGTTTTGAAAAAACGAAGCATACTTTTGTGGAGCAAGGCAAGGTGAAGCTTCTGGCGTATGAAAGAAGTCTCTGGCCCTCATGGCAAAAAACCGGTTAGCATCTCGCAGTGAGAACCTCAAGATTCGAGCGATCAGTGTTTGTGTAGGTACAAGAGTTTAAGTCTTGAAGAAAAGTCATAGAATGACAAATACCTAGATGTGCTTCGCGATGCTGAATCCGAAACTCGCATTGGTGAGATCGAAAAATGAAAAGATCAGGAGATAATCGGGATTTTTCTGACAAATCAGTTTTTCGAGATATTTGACGCCTTCACAGGATTTTGAGGTTTTTTGCATGAAAACTCGGCCAATCAAAACAATAAGGTCAGATTCGTGATCAGCAGCGTCTGACGAATCGGAATATGTGTTTGAAAATTCAAACGCTTTTTCACTTGATTTTTCAATTAGCGGCGCCTTAAGATTGTA